CCTGACTCAGCTGCCCGGCACCTTGCTTCGGCCTTATTAGGGTGCCTTGGGCCTCGGCAGCTGCTACACACCCATCCCAGAGAGGGGCGGGCCAGGAGGAGGGGCTCCTGCTGTGCCGTGCTGGGCGCCCCTCGGGCTCCCAGCAGGGAAGGCGGACCAGCGCTTGTGGACAAGCACGTGTCAAGGTGTTTCAGCCTTTTAAAGGGGTGGCTTTGGGGCGCCCCGTGCTGGCCCAGACCAAGGGGTAGGCGGGGCACAGGGCAGGAAGCGGCCGTGTCTGCAGGGTTTCATCCTCCTGCCGCTGGGCCCTGTCCCCACCCTGCCAGCAGCTGCAGTCTGGCCCTCGTGGGCCCTCGGTCCTGTCCCTCTGTCCTGCGGAGGCGGGAACACCTGCTGGGCTGCTGAACTAGGGTCCCAGGAAGGCAGACACGGCCCTGGACATGGGCCATCCTGCCAGGCTCCCAGAGCAGACTAGAGCTTTGGCCCCAGGGAGGGCTGCCCGCCCCTCCTCCAGGGCCCTGCCCACGGCTCTCCCGGCCTCAGTGCTCGTCTGTCAGGGTGACCCCTGGCCGTAGGGAGACCCACCCCACCCCAGGCTTGAGGCAGCCAGTAGCTCTGCGCTGGTTCCCAGGCCCGGTCAGCACAGGGCATTAAGGGGGCAGAGCAGTCCCAGGAGGGTCCTTAGCATGCCCCCCCTGCAGATTCCCAGCCGTCCCTCGGGGCCAAGCACCCTACCAGCCTTCTAGGCCCAACCCCCAGCTTGCTAGGAACTCCCCCACCTCCTGGTGTGGTTTCTCAGGACCTGGCTCCACACGAACTGGCTCCAGGGGCAAGGACCGCCTGCTGGTGCAGCCTTCCGTGTCCTCCTGGCTGAGCCTGGTGGGGGGCACTCAGAGCCCCACTGGCCCAGGGCCCTGCCCACCCCAGGCCAGCCTTCCAGGGCCTCTCAAGGGCCTGGTGCTGCGGGCCCTGCGGGGGGTGGGGAGCAGATGGGAGCCTTGACAAGGGCTCTTTGTCCTCCGCTGGGAGGTGGGGCTGGTTGGCAGGGCGAGCTCCCCCCACCAACCTTCCCCGGGGAGCAGGGCCAGGCTGAGTCCCGACTGGAGCCTGGGGGAGCTGGCGTCTGTCAGTAAGATCCGCCAGTGGGGCCTCCGGAGGGGCCCTTAGTGGCCCCTTGACCAGCCTGTGTCTCCCAGAGACCCTGCAGGGGAAGGCTTCTAGTCCCCTAACAGGACCCAAGAAAGCCGAAATGCCCTGGTGTGCAAGGCTTCTGGCTGCGCTGGGTCACCTCGGCGAACCTCCCCTGGTGACGTGGCTGCAGGGGCCAGGGGTCTCCGCCTCACCTCACACATGGGGACATGTGCAGGGCCAAGGACAGGAGGGGCCGTGGGAGGCCGGGTCTGCTCCCCTCTACAGAGCGCCCATAGGCAGTGGCCGGCCAGGCTTGGGGGAGCCTACAAGGTGGCCCGGGTCGGCCCTTTTCTGAGTCTGGTGGCAGACAGCGGCCCCCCTCCCGCTGAGCGTGACCCGGGCTGCTGCCAGGGTTGCTGTGGCCACTGGGGACAATCGGAATCTGTTGGGCTGACGTTGGAGGTCAGCAGCGAGATGCGGCCAGCACCTCCCGGGGCAGCGGGCAGGGGTGGGGTCAGCGGGAGGTACTGAGGCAGGCAGGGTCTTCACGCACACACTGTGGGCAGGAACAAGCTCAGCCCATCCCGCGGGGCGGCCTGCATGGTCCCGCAGGCCCTACCCCTCTCATGGAAGAGGAAACGGAGGTAGGAGAGGACGCCTACTTGCTGGGGCAGAACCTGTCCCAGGCCCTCACTGCTGTCCCCTCCAGCGGGGGCCGGGGCCAGGGGCTCAGGGGCTGTGGGACCCGTGGCGTTGGGAGAGTGTTGTGCACACAAGGTCTGGGGAGGCCTGGGGTGGCCTCTTGGGGGCGCATGAGGGCAGAGCACCAAGGGTGCTGTGACCCCCCCCACCCCCAGGAATCTACATCCTCATCGCTGTGGGCGCCGTGATGATGTTTGTGGGGTTCCTGGGCTGCTATGGGGCCATCCAGGAGTCGCAGTGCCTGCTAGGAACGGTAAGGTGGGGTCCCTGCTGGTCCTGGGATGGCAGGGGAGGCACGCTGGAGGAGGCATTCTGGGCGGAGCTCAGGCAGGGCCGCCATCTGCCCTTCTTTCGCCTGCCTGGTGGACGGGGTGGGGGGGCCCGGCGGACTCTGGACTCTGGCTGTCCTCTTTGTTCTTAAACTGTTCTCTCTTGTTCCTGATTCTAAGCCCCAAAGTTGCTTCTTCTTCCTTTGTGTAAGAAAAGCCACAGACAACAGGGAGAGCGTTCCAGCCACGCTCCCCTCTAGCCTGGCCGCCCCTTTCTTCTTGGCCATGTGTGGGTAACCTGTACCAACGTCTCCGCTGGCAGACTGAGGCATGCCGAGGCACCCCCTCCCACACCAGGGCTTCACTGGTGCAGTGCCACAGAGGGGCCCGGGGGGCGCACCCCCCCGCCCCGCCCCCCGCCATCGGAGCCCTGGGCTGGGTGGGGAGGATGTGGCTCTGGCATCTCGGTCCCGGGTTGAGTCCTAGGTTCTGCTCATGATGAGGCCGCGTAGCTTCTTCCCCTCAGGCTGTGGTGATCACCCCCTCCTCCATCCCACGGGCCACTTGGTGTCTGCTGTCTCAAGAAGGCGAACTGCATGCTTCCTGCCAGCCTGGGGCCCTAGGAAGCCCCCACAGGTGTCCCCAGACTAACTCACTGCTTCCTCTGTCTGCTTCCTCCTCCCACCTCGCCCTTGGCGGCCCCCTAGTTCTTCACCTGCCTGGTGATCCTGTTTGCCTGTGAAGTGGCTGCCGGCATCTGGGGCTTTGTCAACAAGGACCAGGTGAGTCGGACCCACCAGATGAGGTTCTCATCCCAGTCTGGGGGATGCTGGAGGGTGGAATGCTTTCTTCTCAGGCTGCTGGGGATGGTCTGGCCTCACCCACAGATAGCAGGTACACCTTGGGGCCCCTCCTGTTATGTGAGTAAGGTCCAGGAGGGCTTCCTGGAGGCAGCAGCACTGGGCCTGAGCTGGGGCCAGCTAAGACAGAAGGACCTGCCCCGCAGTCTGTCCTGGGGGCCCCGCCTTCCTGGGGTATGTCAGGTGAGCACGCATGTCCACCTGAGGAGGTGGTCCCCGCTCTGGTGACCCCCTAGCCCGCCTGTCCTCCCCACAGATCGCCAAGGACGTGAAACAGTTTTACGACCAGGCCCTGCAGCAAGCCGTGCTGGACGATGATGCCAGCAACGCCAAGGCCGTGGTGAAGACCTTCCATGAGACGGTGCGGCTGCCGTGGGTCCAGGGGGCTGGGCATGGGGGCCCAGGGAGCTGCAAGGGGCCAGGCTGTGCAGGTGCACGGGGGCTCCGGAAGCTCCAGTCTTCAAGGGACGGGGCGGCCTGGGCACTCTCCTCTGTGGGCCGTGGGGCAGCTGCTCCTCTCTGCTCTCTGGGTCCCAGGGCGGGAGTGGGTGGCCCAGGTCTCTGAGCAGCATGTCGCGGGTGGCTGTCTCTGGGCTCAGTTCCCCCTGGAGGGCAGGACGAGGCCCGCAGGGCAGCCGCAGCCCTGCAGGAGGCACTGTGGGGTGGGAGTGGGGACGCTCGTCCACGGCCATCCAGGACCCTGGCCGGCGCTCCTCAAGCCCCCTGCCAGCCTGACGGAAGCCGCCCTATTTTCTGCAGTTGAACTGCTGTGGTTCCAGTGCATTGTCCACGCTGGCCACCTCGCTGGCCAAGAATAGCCTGTGTCCCTCAGGCAGCACCGTCCTCAGCAACCTCTTCAAGGTGCGCAGTGGTGGCTGGGGGATGGGACTCGCCGCGGGGTGGAGCCTGGGCCATGGAGGGCAGGCGCAGGGCAGGCCATGGCCAGCCGGGAGGGGACTGCTCTGCCCAGGGCTGGGCTCGCTGGGGTGGCAGAGCTCACCAGAGAGGTGGCACCATCGCCGATAGTCCAGAAGAGTCTGTCCAAAGCCCGGAGGGTTGAGCGGTCTGGTGGGATTGGCGTGTGGCTGCCTGTGCTCGAGGTCAAGGCTGGTGGTGGCCCTTGGTGGCCGCAGGGACCTGTGGTAGCCCTCAGCCATGCAGAGGTGATGTGAACCAGGGTGTCCATCGTATCTCGGGCCTGGGGATCTACTTTAGAAAACCCTGTGGAGCAGTTCTACTCCGACACACACGGGGTCTCCGTGAATCGGAGCTGATGCCACGGTAACAAGTTAAGACCTAACCAAGAGTGCTGGCCGGCCAGAGCGGGCTGGGAGAGCCACGGGTTCAAGCTCCCCTGTGCTTGCTCTGTGTGGCCCGCGTCTCACGCACACCTCAAGGGGGCCCTGACTCCGCCTGCCGTCTGTCCCTGCAGGAAGACTGCCACCAGAAGATCGATGAGCTCTTTTCTGGGAAGCTGTACCTGATCGGTATTGCGGCCATTGTGGTTGCTGTCATCATGGTGAGCTGGGGCCGGGGGCTGGGGGTGTGGGGGGCGCCGCCTGTGCCGTGCCTCACGTCCCCCTCTCCTCGCAGATCTTCGAGATGATCCTGAGCATGGTCCTGTGCTGCGGCATCCGCAACAGCTCCGTGTACTGAGGCCGGAGGCGGGCCCGCCCCCGTGTACATAGCGCCCCTGTATTACTCTGTGCACTTCGCCCCTTTGTTTCCCAGGTGTCCTTGTTCCTTTCCGGGGCTGGCGGCCCTTGGCGGATGACGTGGGAGCCGGCCAGCAGCCCAGAGTTGCAGGGCAGGGCCCGTGAGGCCCCTCTGCTCTGGGGTCACTGGGGGCCCTGCCTGGCCCTGGGGCCTGGCCCTGCGAGCTGAGGGGCTGCAGCCCCGCCCCACCCACCCCCGTGGCTGGTCAGTGGGCGCCTTTTGTAGCCCTTACTCCCCTCCTCCACCTGTTTTTCGAGCAGTGTCTGAGCTGTCTCAGCTCCAGCGCAGCCGTCCTCTCTAACATGTCACCACCAACTGTAATTACGACATCTTCAGTTACGACAGTCACTCAGTAAAGAAGGACAAACCAGGCATATGTCAGCACGGCTCAGACTCCCTTCCTGGGCCGGGGGAGCTGGCCCCGGTGGGCCGCACGGAGGGGATGGTGGGCCATCACCCCCGCCCTTGCGCCGAGCCTGGGCAGACTGTCCTGAGGTGGGTAGCAGGGGGATGTGGTGGAGGATCTGTGCCCCACCCCCCGCGGGACCCTCCTTCCCACTCCTGACGCCTCCTAGGCCTTGGGTTTCCGCCCATCCGGCGAGTGCCTTGGCCGCAGCCGTGCCAGGCCCGCCGTCCGACGGGGCCAGTGAGGGTTTGGCGTGGATGCCGGGACTGCCGGTTCTTCCCCTTCCTTCCTTCCCACCAGTCTGGGTGCTTGTAAACCTTTGCTGGAGGAGCCAGGGGCTGGGGCAGGGCTGGTCTGGGAAGGGCTGAGCCACCAACAGGGGAGCCCAGTGAAGTGGCCCAGCAGGGTGAGCTCAGCCAGAACCCCTGGACCCACAGAGCCGGCCCTGAGCCCCACCTGGGTCTCTTCCCTTTGTCCAGGCTTCTAGCCGGTGAGCGTTGTCCAGACCCACCTGCCTGGCCACCACCCATCCCAGCACAGCGGGCTTTGGGATAGGGCCTGCCCCGGGACAGGCTGCTTTGTCGGGCGTGCTGGGTGACGTCGCCAGGAGTTAGGGTGGCGTCCACCTGCACACATGCTAAACTGACCCCGAGAGAGCCTGGCTGGGCTTCCTGTGGCAGGGACTCTCAGCAGCTCCTTGGACTGACTCTGGAACCCGACCCCAGCCCTGCATAGGGGGTTAAAGGGTCTCGGGGCCTGCACCTCAGGCTTCCCCCTCCTCCCTGCCCCTTCCACACCTGGGCCAAAGGATCTGGGTACGGGAAGGTCCAGAGTCGCTCCTCTCCGCTCCCACTGGGCTGTGGGGCCCACAGGTCCATTTGCCCTTTGCCCAAGGTTGCAGCCCAGGGGCTGGGGCCTGCCTTCTTCATGGCGGTGACCCACAGCGGGTTCCCAGTGAGGCTGAGGCAGGGAGGCGGAGTGTAACGAGGCAGCTGAAGGTTCACTGCAGACCAGGGGCTGAGGTGGGGGCTTAGCTTCTCTGTGCCTCTCGGGTGGGCAGCTACTTGAACCCTTGGTTTCCCAGCAGTGGGGTTTCGAGTGTGTGGGACAGGAAGCGCCCCGCTAGAAAAGGGGCAAAAGGTGCAGCCCACCTGGGGGCTGAGGGAGGCAAAGCTCAGCGAGGGGGAGACGCTGGGACCTCATCCTCCATTACGGGGTAGGAAGTGACCTGCCTTAGGCCAGCTCCCAAGCGCGTCGCCGCCCTCTGGTGCCTGCTCACTGCCGTACGGGCTTTCCCCCATGGCCCCCCAGTCCTGGCCGACTCGGTTCCCTTCCCCCGCTCCTCGCTGGCCAGTGGCCTCCTCCTTGCCCAGCCCTCCCAGGCTCCTTGGGCTCTGGCTCCCAGTGGGCCAGGGACCCTGCACGGGCGGTGAACCTGGAAAGACGTGGTCAGGGCACAGTGGGGCCTTGCCCTCCCCACCCAGGGGCTTCCCCACCCCTAAGCCACAGCTCTCCATGGCCACGTACGGTGCGCACTGGTTAGGGTACACGGGGAGGGGATGGGTGTCCGTGTCCCTGGGGAAACACCCTAAACGACAGCCCCGGGCAGAGCCTTGCCCCTGGACAGGGCCCAGGAAAGGTCCCGGGGAGCAGGTACGAAGTGTAGCCACGGGGAGCAGAGGCCAGACCGGCGCGCCAGGCAGCCTCCGCTCCGCCACGTGCCCGGAGCCCGCAGTAGCCAAGATGCTCCCTCGGCCCTGATGGGTCGAGACCCTGGTGCTGATCCGAGGCTGCGTGACTGCGGGGACCTGCTTGGGGAATTTGGGGGTTCCGGTGGGGCGGGGCCGGGCACTGGAACGCTGCGGGGGCGCTCCGGTCGGCACCGGCCCAGCCTGCTCTCCGGAACTGACCGACCGACGGAAGAAAAAACGGACGGACGGAGGGAAAGGCGAAACCCTATTACTTCCGGAAGTGCCCGGCGAGAGGCTATTGTGTCCGCGGAGCGCGAGAACGCGCTTTCGGCCTGAGGCGGCCGCGGTCCTCAAGACTGCCAGCAGGTGGCGCTGGCCGCCGGACTTCAAGCATTCCGGGAATTGCATCCGATTGCCGCCCTTCCTTTTCTCCTTGGCTAGTTCCTGCTTGTTTATTGAAGGAGCGCTGGCGTCTCTGGGCTGTCGCGAACAGGCCCCCAATGCGGAGGAAGGGCGGTTACGCCGAGAAACGCGCACGCACAGGACTACATGTCCCGGCAGGCCTCGGGAGCAGGGGCCCAGTGCCTTGTGGGGGTTTTAGTTCTCTGAACCCAGAAGCGGCGGCGCTTGGCTGGCGAAAGACTCGGTTTCCCAGAGGACCGAGCGCGGCGTCCCGGCAGGCGGCGCGACCAAGATGGAGGCGGCCAAGCCACGGTGAGTCGGTAGGTTCGTGGTGGGGGGAGGCCGTCGGGAGGCCGCTGGCCGCATCCTGCATCCCTGAACCCGGTCACTCCGACGTCTCGGTTTCCCCCGTCCTTTCGCGGCCTGGCCCTGGGGACCCCGAGCCTCCTGAGGCCCGGGCCCAGGGCCCATCCAGCCGGCCCTGGCCCCCGAGAATCTTTCGTTCGTTCCCCGCCGCGGAGAGCCTGCTGTGTGCCAGGCACAGAGCGAGGCGCTGGGCACGTAGAGCAGAGTAAGACAAGGCTCTAATTTCAAGGAGGAGAGAGACGAGCAGAAAGGAAACCAGTGCTCCCGGCCCCTGGGACCTGGTCTGCGCCGATCCGGGCCCTTGGAAACCTCAGCGCCTCGGCCAGGATCCAACTGTGCCCTCCAGTGAGCCCTTGAAGTAACCTGAGGCCTTGAGTTCAAGAAACGACTCCCGGGTTCCCTAGTTCCATATCATGGGGCCCGATCACCGTTTCTGAGTGGCCCACAGAACAGGCTACTCGGTGGCTTCGGGTGGTGCGTGCAGAGAATAGTGCGAATTTGGAAAGTCAGAGACTGGCTGGAACTCTAGCTGTGACTTGGGCAAATTATTTCCTCACTGGCCCTGCCAGCTCTAAAACATAGTGGGATGTGCTTCCTACCCCTTTCTCTCCTGAAGTCATTCCTTCCCAGAGGAGCCCCGCCCCACAGAAATTGCGTGTCGCTTGCGTGTGACCCCATGGAGAGCACGCAGAGCCGCCCTTGTCCGCGGGTCCCCATCCGCACGGGCTGCACAAGCCACGGGTCACCCTGCGCGAGGGATCTCGGTGGAGAGAAGGAGCTGCTGATAGTTGCCTGCCGGCGGTGCTGAAGGAGGAGGGTGGGCTGTTCTCAGCCTGGGAACAAACTCCAAGCTCCCAGTCACACCCGCCCACGCATGGGGGGTCTGTAGCATTTCTCTGATCCGCATGAAAGGTTGGGGAGGGCTGGAGTGTTACAGGAGAAATGCCCGTTGGAGGTGGCTCCTGGCCTGCTGAGGGCTTGCCTCTACCCAGCAAAGCTGCTTGAGATCATGAACACCCCAGTTCCCTGAGAGCTAGACCCTCAGGATGCGTGGGACAGTGCCCACAAACAGGATCCAGAAGGGTGCGCCGGCCTTTGTGGAGTGCCTTCCGCATGCCAGGCGCTGTGCTAGGCAGTTTACAAACAATAGTAGAACAGATGGAGCAGAGGCTGCCCTGGGTCCTGGGTTCAGACCCTGGCTGGGCTGCTGACTGGTGAAGTCCCCAAGCAGGCCACCCTGTCGTCGCTCCGGGCAGCTGGGAGTTAGGACTGACTTGAAGAGGACATTGGGATTGAGTGTGCTTAGGTGTCGAGAGTGCCTGCTCCAGGTCTGTGAACCAAAACACCCCTCTCTCGGGGCTGGGTGCCTTTCCACACCCTCCTCTCTGGTCTGATAGGTGAATCTCTCCCCAGCACTCACCCCAGCTGAGCGGCCAAAAGGGGCTGTGTGGGGACGACCGCGCCTGTGCCGTGAGGACCTGCCTCGGGGCTCCACCTGCCTGGCCACCCACCCAGCCAGTGCGCCAGTGTCCGCCACAGGCACCAGGGAAGAAGGGAGGTGAGAGCAGGTTCTCCGAGGCTGGGGTGGGCCCTGTCCCTTTCTGTGGCGGTCACAGCCTTTCTGCTGCCCCCATCTCCCACCCAGGGGCAGCGCTGTGCTGGAGGGAAGGTTCCAGGCACTGAACCTGCCCTTGTGCTGTTTGGTCCAGGTGTGGTGTTGGCCCTCCGGACAGATGGCTCAGGCAGGAGTGGGTGAGGCCGAAGGCGAGGCGGAGCGGGGGACAGAGTCGGACACCCTGCCTTCTGACATGGTCTCCCTCAGCGACTCTGACACAGACCTCAGTCTGCCTGGCAGTGCTGAGGTGGAAGCACTGTCCCCAGAGGGCCTGCGCGGCGAGGCTGAGGGGGATTCAGGCCCCGATGAGCCCCCCTCACCCCCGGCGGGCCTGCCTGGAGCCACTGTCCAGCCCTTCCACCTGAAAGGCATGAGCTCCACCTTCTCCAAGCGTAGCCACGACATCTTCGACTGCCTGGAGGGGGTGGCCCACACCAGCAGGGGTGACAGTGGGGGCTTCAAGCAGCCCCTGTCACCCCCAGACCAGTCTCCGATGGAGGGCCCGGGCAGGGCTATTTGGAGCCCTGTCCCTCCAAGGGTGCCCTCCGTCCCTGACTATGTGACCCACCCTGAGCGTTGGACCAAGTACAGCCTGGAGGATGTGGCTGAGGGCAGCGAGCAGAGCAACCGGGCTGCAGCCCTGGCCTTCCTGGGCTCCCGGAGCCCGGCTGCGTCCCCTGACTACGCACCCTCCTTCAACCAGGATCCCTCCAGCCACGGGGAGGGAAGGATCCTCTTCTCCAAGCCAGCCCGAGCCAGCGAGGCCAGGCCCGGGAGGAACCGAGTCCTGAGGAAGGCAGGAGTGCCAGGTGCAGCCGAGGACACCGTGAAGCTGGCCCACCTGGCCGCGAGCCCAGAGACTGAGGAGAGCGGCCCCCGGGGGGGACTGCAGGAGGTGGGGAGGCCTGGGGGGCCTTCCAGTGGGGGCCCCGCGCCAGTGGAGACTGTCGGCTTCCGTGGCAGCAGGAAGCGGAGCAGAGACCACTTCCGGAGCAAAGACGGCAGCCCCGAGGGCCCAGGAGGCGAGGCCTGAGGTGGAACTGCCGTCCCGGGCCTGGCCGCCTGAGCCGCAGGCCGCACAGGGGCAGACCGGGCAGTGCCCAGCCCGGGGCAGCCAGCCAGGCCCGACCCCGAGGCCAACCCACCCGGTGGCTGGTCTTTGGAAGGAAGACGCTGCCTGGGGCAGCTCCCTGGGTCCAGGTGGAGGAGAGGCGGCACAGACAGCCCCTGGGAAGGAAGCCTGGTGGGCACGGCCTGCAGGTGGGCCCTGGTGTCGAGGCCCCCTGCCTGGGAAGCCCTGCTGTGACTGCCCTGTGGGGGACAGTAAAGGTTTTGGGTGTTCATCCAGGCTCCGTGTGTCTGTCTGTACCCCTGAGAGCTCACCCGGGCCTGTGCACAGACGGGTCATGGCTGGGTCACCTCGCACATATCAGCCAGGATGGGGCTGTTGGCAGGCTGGGGCCATTCCGCACCTCTCCTGTGCACAGGGAGGGCCCCCGAGTGGGCTGGGAAGTCCAACGGGTGCCCAGGCCACTTCCGGGATGGTGGGGACTCAGCCCTGCCTCTCCTGGCTCAGGGTCCCCCGGGAAGACGGACTGACCTGGCAGAAGGATGCCCACCCCCGTCCCAAGTGCAGTTCTGCCTTGAGTGGTCTGAACACCCCACTCCCCACCCTGTGGGCCAGTTTAACCTCGGCCAGCGGGCACTTTGGGCACCTTGAGAGGGAGCTTGAGGTGTGGGTGTTTCAGGGCCAGGTGGGTGGCACCCAGCGGCCATCTAGGCTCAGGCTTGTGAGCAGTCGCTGCAAGCTGCATTGGGTGGGAGCCGGGAGCTGGGGCACGCGAGAGCTGGCCGGCTGACTCCTGAGGACACTTGGGTCCCAAAGGGAAGAAATGACAGCCACTAGCATGTCAGACACTCTCTTTCAGCCAGAACAAAGTGGGGGGGGGGGCTCTGAGCACTGCCCGTGGTGGTGCGTCCACTGGACAGAGCTGAATTCCCAGAAGAGGTGGCCGTCGGAAGAGGCCTAGAGGACCACTTGCCGCCGGGTGCACCACTGTGGGGAGGAGAGGTGGCAGCTCAGGGCCACACCCCACCTCTCCTGCTGGATCTGGACAGAAGGGGCCAAGCGGAGCTCCAGAGGAGGTGGCCAGCAGGCAAACAGGCCAGGCGACTCAGGTGTTGGGGGGCGGCTGGCCAGCCTCAGGGCGCTCTCTGCTGCCAGGGCCCCCTCCGTGGTCGGCAGAGGGCTGCAGGCTCCCACCGCCACTGTAGTTCTTAGAGCCTGGTGGGGGAGGAAGGCCCGTCAGCGGCTGGGACAGCCTCAGGAAGGTGGGAGGGGCCCTGCCTAGAGGCCAGGGGTGGGCCCCACAGAGACCAGCTGCCCAGGGGAAGGCTGGGGAGTCAGAAGAACCTGCCCAGGCCACGTCCAGGGCTCCCAACAGAGGGGCAGCCTAGGAGGGCCACGCCAGGCAGCGCCTCAGAGGTCTGAGGGAGCTGAGCCCCTCGGCCCGGCCAGGTCCGAGGCTTTGTCAGAGGACTGTGGCCTCCAGGGGGCACCCGAGGCCTCCACCCTCCAGATGCCCACCCACTCTGCCACCCCACTTACTCCAGGGGCTGTGGCCCTGGGCCAGGGTGTCAGTCACGGCAGACAGGAGCACCGTGCAGTAGTTGATCTGTAAGATGGACAGGAGTCCAGGGGAGCCCAGAGCTCGCATGGCAGGGGGGACCTGCCAGGGTGCCTGCTGCCCATCAGCCTGCCCTTTGTAAGTGGCTGCAACCCAAGGGCAGGGGACAGAGGGCCAGGCTCCAGGCTGGGTGGGCAGAGGGCACAGTCTCTGCTAAGTGGATGGGACGGCAGGCTCAAGTGCCAACTCAACACCCTGAGGAAGGCCTCTCTGCCGCCCCAGCCACGGGGGCACAGGGTGTGGGAAGGTCCCCACATATGGGTGCCACACACCCCGCACACGCGTGCCCATCTGGTGAGAAAGGGACCCGCAATCGCCAGCTTACTTGTGACTCTAAGCCCTTGATGCGCTTCTCCTGCTCTCGCAGCCCACCTAGGCAGTTGGCCACCAAATCCACCCTGTGGCAGAGCAAATGGCCACGGCAGGCATGACACTGGTGCTCCCCTGGTGGCTCACCTCCCTGCCTACCCAGGCCCCTCGGGGTCCCTGCTCACGGAACCTCTCAGCACCGGGTCTGGGCGCTGTGGCCCTCCCGCCTCCTTCGTCCCTCGCCCGGACCCACAGCTGGTGGTGCCTGAACTCTTTGGGGAGCATGAGAAAGGCTGGGTGCCCAGGGAGGGGCTGGGTGCCCTCCCTGCTCTCCCTGCCCTTGGGGACAGTGCGGGCGCAGACAGGATGGTTCCAGCACACAGACAGGAACTGAAGGGCCCCCAGCCAGGACTGGTGAGGGGCATGGAAGAGGGCTGGACAGAGAAGGACGGAGGGTGGCTGAGTCCCTGCGGAAACCCCACGGTAGGGAGGACGCCACACTTATTGGCCAGTGTCCCCGACTACAGGGGCGGGTAGGTAGGTGCCAGCATAGCCCAGGCCTGGGGTCGGGAGGCCCTGCTCCCCTCTACGCTTCAGTTTCCCCAGCCTGATCCTCTGGCCCAGAGGCCACACCGGCTTGAGGGCAGCCGGCCACCTCCAGTAAGAATGGCCGGTCCCGGCAGAGCTGGTAGCAGCCCCGCTGCAGACCCCCTGCCCGCCGTGCCGGCCCCCACCTGTGGGCGGTCCTCCGAAGGACCTCCGCGCTACTGTCCTTCCTCTTCTTCTCCAGGCTGCTCAGGAAGTTCTCCTTCTGGACCGCCTCCCACGTGACGATCTTCTGGTCCAGGGGGTCCGGCAGCTCTCTCTCTGGGGGGGCAGGGCAGCAACTGGCTTCGCTAGAGCCGGGTGGGCCTCAGGGCAGATCCTGGGCCTGGCCTTGGAGCGGGGCCCACGGGCAAGAGCAGAAGTACCCCCCACGCCATCAAATGGGGTCAGCCCCAGCCTGGCAGGTCAGTCTGCAGACAGGCCCAGCAGGCGGGCCAGGGGACAGGTGCAGAGACAGCCTAGCCGGCTTCTCGGCCTGGGCGAGGGCAGCTTGCAACCTGACCGCACGCCCAGCCGAAGGACCCCCACAACCCCCAGGCCGTGCCCAGCCTCGGGCGCCCCGCCCAACCTGGGAGCTCCACCCGCCCCCTAGCCTCC